CCTTTACAATTATTTTTTTGGGACTTTTAACTCTTTCACGCGCACACCTGAGGAATTGCAGGGGGAAAATTCGACTGTTCGTTACAAGTGTCCAAATTTGAATGACTGTTGGCTTGAGTGCCGTACGTAGCTTTATATAGATGGTCAAGGCAATGGACCAACAACATTCAACAGTGGCAAGGCAGGATTCTGTAAAAGCTATTTTCCGTTATATCACAGTGTTTTTGTTGTAGCCACTCTACTGCTGCTGCTGTTGTTGTTGTTATCTTTGCCGAATCCCCACAACCAATCAGAGCAGAAGAGCTTTTACGAACACATCGCATGTATCGTTCGTTAGCTGTGCCATGGGTAATCGTTTCGGGACCCCACCATCCTGAATGGACAAAAGTGTTTTTGTTGTTGAACGTGGGTGCAAAAAGTACATAAATACAATGATGTGTGTGAGCGTGTGGAAAAATAAAGTTGAATGCGTGGGTTTTTAACATTGGTATGTGTTTGTGCAGAGGTTCCTTATGCACCTGTTAGCCGTTGTATTTACCCAGCTTATGTGAGAAATTTCAAATAATCGTCCACGGGGATTCGGGTTAGAAATCGCTGTTTGTTGTTGTTGCACTTGTTGTCTGTTTTGTATTTTGTTGTTATTGTTATTGGGCGCGTGAGTGTGTGTGTGGTTTGTTTTTGGCTCAGCTTTACTAATTAGTATCCAAAAATGTAGGAGGTTTTCATTAATGGCTTAACTTTGCATCTCTTTTTGTTTTTGTTACCTCCAAAAATTTTCGATGGAAAGGGTTCCGCTTTGGTCTAATTGCTTCACGTACTAGTGCCTTGATGTCCGCAAATTGTGGTGTCTTCTGGTAATATTTTAATAGCTGTAATAATTATCCATGCACATATTTAATGGACTTATTCTTCTTGTAAGAATATCTTGAGTAAATGCGATTAACATATTTATCCATCAGCGGAACCATTCGAATTCTTTCACAAAGCAAACAACTTAACTTTTTACGCTAAATGTTGGCATCATATTTTTTCTAAAAAATTCATTTTCCTGGTAGAGTTAAAAAAAGTCTTCACAAAAAAAATAAATACCGGAAATAAGCCACTGATCATAAAACGGAAGGTAAAAATAGAAAACATTATGATGTAGTATTTAATTTCTGCTTCACCGAATTGTTGAAGTGTTTACTGTAGGATTCTTAAGTTCTCAGAGGTGTTTAGGGCTAAAAATAATGTTGCCTCTTGGCTTATGGAAATGGGAATTTTTACCCCTTTTTTAACAGAAGCGAATTTTAAAATGTTAGAAACAAAAATCCAAGGGCATTTTGATTGGTCGCTCGGTTAAATATTGTTCAAAATATATAATATTTGTAATTAAACAAGGTTACAATCAGTGTTCCGACTGATACATACACTCAACTTTAACCATAATGTTAGTACAAATTTAGCATTGAGAGAATTGGTGATAATTTCACAATTTGTCGTAGTTATTGATATTAAGAATATTGACCCATTCTGGAAGAGATACCAGAAGGAGTGGAGAGACATATTACATCTTCATGGGAGATCTTAGATTTTCTAATTAAAATAAACAAAGTTTGAAATCGGGCACTGATTTAATTATACCCTTAGTCATATGGCTAGAGAGGGTATATACGACCAAACCGTGCTTCATCGAAATAACGCTTTTAGACCCTAGGTCTCTTTTTGGACCCAATCCGCTTCAAACCATTTGGAGTCGATAACTGTCGAAGGGAGTATTCGATTTGATCCAAACTTGGTACATCGTTATATTATTGTCAAACTTAGATCGAGTTCGGAAATGGGCATATCGGTCCACTCCTTACTGCACAGAAAGAGAAAGGATAATCCAATTTTGCTCCAACTTTGAAAATCCCAATACATATTTGCATCAGTGAATATTTCAGTCAGATGAGAAAACGGACAATATCGGCCCACTCCATCAAGTACATTTCCCACAAAGGGTCAACATTTTTTTATAATTATAACTCTTATAAAATGCGTTGTAAGAGACCTATTGCCTTCAAATTACACAAATTACAATATGTTTTATTAATGAAAGGTCCGGTGTGAAGATGGAGTATATCGGTCCACAAATTCTGTTATTTCCTCTCATAGGGTCAATATTTTGAATATCCATTAAGCCCATAAAACGCGAAATTAACAACCTATTTCTTGCACACTTGGCACATCTCAATATTCCTATCTATACTAGATCTGTTATAAAGATGATAGAGATTCGACCATTTCTTCCGGTACCTCCCCACATAGAGTTCAAGATTTTTCAAAAACAAAACGCTCAAAGAAAGCAAAATAAGCATCCAACTCTCTGCAAATTTCACACAAAAAATAAACAAGATCTGATGTGAAGGGTGAGTTAAAAAACTGCAACAAAGTCAAACGCCATAATTTTATTTTTTTTTTTTAATTTTAATTTTAATTTTTTGAACATTTTGGCACGAATTATGGCCTTAAAACGGCCTATGAAATTGTCACACGCTGCCCAAATGTTGCTCTGCCATTCCCGGCAAAGCGTTTGCTCGAGTGCCAACCTTACCAAAATACTCCAGACACAATAGTTCAATGAATTGGTATCCGGAGATTTTGGTGGCCATTATGCGCTGGAAATGAAGCGAGGAACCTAATTTTGAACAATTCTTGGGTGGCGCGTGCTGAGTGTGATGGTGCTGAGTCCTGTTGGAATGACTAAGGTCTGCGGCCAAAATGTTTGCGTGCCCAAGACTTTAATATACCCTCCAGAATATTTTTGCAATAATATTCAGCATTTATTTTAATTCCACGATCAATTAATATGAGAGGAGAGCGACCATCGGCTGTTATGGCGGCCCACACCATCACCATGGCCGGCGCTTGAGTTATGGTGCCCAACCGAAGGTGCAAATTTTCAGCTGACCTCTTTGGCAAGTAAACATAATCATTTTGTTTGTTTACAAACTGCTGGACAACGAGATCGGAGAAAAACAAATTAGGCAGTTCACTACTTCCGGCCAAGCGAAGCAACTCTTTAGCTCTTTTGAGTCTATTTTCTTTCTGTTGCGGTGTAAGTTCTTGCACTTTTTGGAATTTCAATGCCTTTACCCCGAGCTAATTTTTTAATATTTGCCGAATGGAATATTGCGATATATTCAGCTCACGAGCCATTTTTCGGCCACAGCGACGCGGGTTTCGATCAAGTCGCTTCTTTACTTTTCGAACCATTTATGCTGATGTTGATGTTTTCTTCCGTCCACTTCCTTGACGTATAACGGTAACGAGCGGTGGTACGAGACACAAAAGATTTATTCACATTTAAATGCTGGTGTGCTCTAACGATAGCCACTTGTGGTTTTCCAGCCAAATATAAAGAAATCACACTATCACGCTTGAATTCCATCACGAATAACTTTTTTTCTAGAAAATTCTCTCCAAAATGCTTTGTACGCTTGTAAACAATATAATGAGATATCACTGGAAAAAATTTAACAGCTGTCGGACGAGTGGCTTAGAAATGACAGCAGTCTGAAGTTGGTTGCAGTTTTTTTCATCCCACCCTGTACATAATGCTGGTTAATATTCTACACCTAGGCTGTCACACTTTCAAACATTTTCGTCTTATACACGAGCAAGGCTTGTTGCAAATCATTGGATTTTATTATCAAAATGCGTACTATGTTAAGAAAGTTCATCTCGGTCTTTTTTTTGTTCAACGACGAAGCTTATTTTTGGCTCAGTGGGTACGGAAACAAGTAAAATTGTCGATTTTATAGTCAAGATCAGCCAGCAGCAATGTAAAAATATTAATGCATCCAAAAAAGTTAGAGTTTGGTGAGGTTTATGGGCTGGTAGCACTTCAAAGATGCTGCGAATCTTAATGTAACTGTGAATGACGAGCACTACCGGAAGATGGTATCCAACTATTTCGGCTAAATTACAAGAGTTGACTTGGCTCACATGTGGTCTCAAGAAGACGATGTCGCAATCCCCACAGCACGTGCCACAATGGACTTATTGAAAAGCTATTGGACTATTGAAAGCCTGGATCGTGCGATTTAAAGCCTTTAGACTACGGGGCTATGCTAAAGCTCATGACTATAGAGACGGGACCGCTTCAATTGATGCATTGAAAGACAAACTTTGAATCATTTCTTCGAGAGATATCAACCGAAATGTTGGAAAGGGTATGTCAAGTTTGGACTAATCGGATGGACCACATGAAGTGAGGAATAATCTTCAAACATTAAATTCTATGGACCGTACTGCCATAATAAATAAAGATTTCATGAGTTTTTTCTGAATGTTATGTTTTTTTTTTTTGAAAAACTTTGATATAGCTCTTAAACAAATCACCCTTTACATGTCCTTGGTCCCTGTGTTGTGGCGTCATGAATGAAGTTCAAGTGGTCGCCTAGTTTACCAATGAGATATCGCAAAACGTGTTTTGATCTAATGCCAAACTTGTATAACCAGATGTTACTCAAACAATGACCAAGAAATGTCAAACACTCGATCATAATCAATGTTTACACTGAACCCCTTTATATCAGGATAATTGCTCCATCATGATTGGTTTGACGTAGATTTTATACAATCCACGTCAAATAAATCATGATAAAGCATTACGCTGTGATAAAAGGTACTCAATGTAAACGTGGTCAAAATATAAAGAGAAAAAAAAAAAAAAAAAACAAAAAACAGGCCACTGGGAATTGATATTTTATATGAAGTCAAGGTAACCTATTATTATCGAATGTTCCAAATGAAAAATATTAGTATGCATTTTTATTATATATTAGAAATGAATCCTAAAAATAATGAAATTAATAAAAAAAATCCAGTATATATTCATATCTATATTAGTTATATTTTTATTTAAATCTATGAAAATGTATTTAATCGAAATCTTTTGCAACCAATTTGATGTAATTAAATATGTGTTGTCAACAAATAATTTTCTCTCTCTCCCTAACACGTTCTCATTACAGCCTTTCTAATTAATATCCTCCCTCAACCACTTCAGATTGTTTTGCAAAAAAAACCCTTCAGTAGCAGTAAATTTGTCACCACAAAATCCCCAACACAATAGTCAGATTATCACCACTGCGATTATCACCGCGGCGATTAGTGCTGTCATCAACAACGAGGTAAGTGTCAAGTGTTTTTTTTTTTTGCAGGTAAATTACTTTTTTCATCAAGCTAATCAATTTGAATATTGTTCGGAAAAGTGGTTGTAACACAGTAGTAGTTCCACAGCAACAGTGTCAATGTACTGGTGGTGATAATAATGATTATGATGATGTGGGTGATATCTGGGTGTTGTATTACCATTAAAAATCAATCATGATCACGGCTACTGTTACAACCACCCTTTGTTTAACCCTTTAACGTCAGCTGTTTATCGTCGAATCAATTCCCGTCACAAAGTGAGATTATTGTAACAATCTAGAATGAAAAAAAAAAAAAAAAACAATTAGATTGTTTACAAACAGATGAAATGGCTACTGGTCTTAGTTATGTTTATCGAAATCGACATTTTTGGTATCAAAACAATAAACAAATCTAAAATTGCGTAGCATAATTAGACATAATTTGTAATAAATATATCGGCCCTGAGATGGAGGGTATATTTATTTTGCTGTTATGTTTGTAACAATATTAAAGTACAGATCTTCTTTTTGCTTGGCAAGGAGATGCTTTTAGTAATCCCATATTAGATTATGGGATATAAGTCTAAGAAGATAACTTTATAGTTTATTTATTTCGTACACCAAAAAGCATATGTCTCCTGTTTGATAATATGGAACATCTGCATAACTTTCTTCACCTCTATTTCATCATCACATAGTTTATAGTAGTCAGGACCACTCCTGCTATCCCATTTTGGCGTCAGATTTTTATTACTGCAATAAGCCTACCGTGATTCATAGGTCAGACCTTCTAATTGCAAAAGGGAGCTGGTTCTTCTTCTCGAGATTACCGAATTCTGCCAGCATTTTTTAAGCAATGATAGCGTTTTTAAGCGACTGACATGTAAGCTTAGACAGTCTCTTCGATCGGTAGATCAATTAACTGGAAATTATCTGAAGCTAATTCGTCATCCATTTTCTTTCCCACCATATTGCTATAAACAAGTAAAAAAGTAGCATCTCCACTACTCGGAAGGCACTGGAAAATTAAAAAGAAAAATACGTCGGAAAATACCGCTCAAATGAAAACCTGTATATATACGAAGATGTGGTGCTGGATATGGGTGCTTTATAAAAACGTAGACATATGTAGACAATTTTCTCCAAGGGGGTAAAGTACTCAGAGGGAACTCATTGTGTGGATTTTCAGACAATCCCACTGTGGCTAAAATCATCAAAATACCGAATATCAGGAGGTACCGTTATATGGGGGATATACGATATCGTGGCCCTATATGGATAATTCTCTTCCAGGGAATAAAGTACTCACTTTGTGAATTTTCCGACAATTCCATTGAAAATTTTGCTGCAATCATCAAAATGCCGAATAGGGGGGGGGGGGGGGGGGAGAGGGAATCGTTATATGGGGGATATTCGATATCGTGGAACGATATAGCCCATCTTCGAACATGACCTGCCTGCAGATAAAAGACTGGTGAGAATCTATTTACCTATCTATCAAGACAAGATGCGGTGTGAAGATAGAATATGTCGTACTACTCCTTTTGGTACCCTCCCCCCACAACGGGTCAACATTTTGAATAATTATTACTCTCATTAAATGCAAAATAAGCATCCGTTTTTGTTGTAATTTCACACAACCCAATATTGGTTAACACAACATCTGGTGTGAAGATGTAGATATCGACCAACTCTTTCTGGTACTTCTTGCACCAAGGGTCAACATTTTGAATAACAAAAACGATCGTAGAATATGAAATAATCATCCGATTGTATTCAAATTTTACATATCTCAATATTTCTAATAACTTAAGGTCTGGTGTGAAGTTAGGGTATATGGGCTTACTTCTTCCGGTATGTTAAAATTTTTCAATAACAAAACGCCCATATAAAGCGAAATAAGCGTCCGATTCTCTTAAAATTTTACAAATCCCAACCTTTCTGGCACCTCTCCCACAACTTTTAATATATCTCTATATACCGCTCGACAAAACAGACTGACCCTTTTTAACTTGTAATAATTTTTGTTTCGGTTGCCGAATTAACAACCTCGGGATTTAATCGTATGCTTTGTGCCTGAGTCTATTTAAATTCCGATATACAGAACGGAATTTCTTAAAAAAGTTTGCTTTTCCGGAAACACTATTCAATAAAGTGTCATCAACATGTTGTTAATTGTATGGAACAAAAATGTCATGATAATCTCCATACGAAGATTTTTGCCATTATTTTTTAATTTTGAAAACTGATGTGGCAAATGGAAAACTATTTTTTTCGTTATTAATTCGAATACGAATTCTTTTAGAATTTCCTCCTTAATACATTTACTGAACATTACATCAACCCCAATGTGCCAATCATAAATAATAAGTTCGGCAGCTTATCAGGTTGTTAGTTTATGTCCAATTGGATTCTATTACAACAGCTATCACAACGAATTTGCTGATGATTGTTTGTTAAGATTAAAGTTGTGATTTATGTTAATTGATTTACATAAATTATGATTTCAATATGACTGCTTAGATAGATTTGAAGAAATACCAGTAACTTTGGGCTATGATTTGAATATTGGAAAAATGGAAATCTAACAGCCTGTTCCACGATGTCGAAAGAACACGTTCGCACAACTTTTACACGACAAACAGCTGATTTCCGTTCCACTAAAATCCATCAGAACGAAAATTTGCACGAAAATCAAAGCGAACGAAAACGTAAGCGTTTCAGTGTAATTTTGCGTTCCACTATCTTTTTTCTTTCTTACGCATGCGAACACAAATGTCAAAATCAGTCACTTGTGTGTTTGCTGTCGAATGATAAAAATTAAGGAAAATTGTTTTAACATAAACATTCCTTGATGGAAAATGGAAAGAAAAATGTAAGTAAAAATAATAAATGCAATTTAATCTGTGAACAACAAATATATATTTTTTTATTTTCTCAATTCCAGCACGAAAAAACTACACAGCTGCGGGCACTAGTTGAGTATATGGGGGAGAATCCTAAGTTCGCCAGAGGAGTGTCAATTTTTGGAAGCAGCAGGCAATCCCATGAAGACCACTGGAAGACACAAACCTAGAAAAAATCATTTTTTTATTATTTCAAAAATGTAAAAATACAATCATACTTACTGGTTGTTAGGTACTTCAAATAAATTCGAAGCATCTCTTAAATGCCTCCGTGGCACAATTTGAACCTCCTCCTCATCATCCATAAAAAATAGGGCTACAGAAATATTCATTTTTTTTCTTTTTTAAGAACACAAATAATCTGAACACAATCACTAGAAATTTTATTTTGTTTGTTTATTTACAATTTATTTGTTTACAACTGAACTGTCAGTTGAGACAGAGCCACTGCTGCTTTTTCGCGTTTAAATTAGACATTTGGCGCTTTTTTTTGCCTTATTTCGCGATTAATTCTACCAAAAAATATTTTGCAACACTGAATCACGTAAGGCTATGCGAAAGAAAGAACGAAAGTTAGTGGAACGCATTCTTATGCGAAAGTGAGTGAGTAGCCTTCGTTCGCACAAATTTTCTTTCGAGATCGTGGAACAGGCTGTAAGAGAAAAGTCCACAATGTGAATCATTAGTTAGAGTCGAATATGAAAGCAACGCATGCATTTATGGCTCAACCAATGTTCGATGATTTAAATTTATTTTCACTTCTGTTATGATTCTGTCAAATTGTTGTCCTCCTAGGGCGTAGGTTCCGAAGGAATGGGTCAAAATTGACCATTTTGTATTGGACCTAAATAAATATGATATAAATGTTTCGACGTGTCAGGTTTGAACTATATCGACTAGTTCCTTCACTTTATATTAGATAATATGTTTTTCAAAATCTTGAACCCTATGTGGGGGAGGTATCAGAAGAATGGTTCGATCTCTGTTATCTTTACAACAGATATTGTGTTGATGGAAATATTTAGATGTACTGAGTCTGGATAGAATCGAATGTTAATTTCGCATTTTATGAGCTTCATGTATATTCAAAATTTTGACGCTTTGTGGGAGGTGGCAAGAAGTGGGCCAATGTATCCCATCTTCACAGCAGATCTTATGTTTGTAGAAATAACGGCATGTGTGTAATTTTCCAGGCAATCTTCAGTAGAGAGATTTTTATGCCCTCAGTCATATGACTAGAGATGGTATGGGTTATATATCATTTAAAACGACCAAAACGTGCCTCATCGAAATTACGTTTTTAGAACCTAGGTCTCTTTGGAATAAATCCGTTTCAGAAAATTTGGAATCGATCTAGCGATGTCCGTCCGTCTGTCTGTTTGGCTGCCTGGTGCGCACGATAACTCTCGAAGGGAGTATCCGTAACTTTGTACATCGTGATATTATTGTCAAACTTAGATCGAGGTCGGAGATGGGCAATATCGCTACACTCCTTCTAGTATCTCCCTCACAAAAGGTCGAAATTTTCAAAAATATATATTTTCTGCAGAGAAAGACAAACAACAATCCGATTTTGCTCCAACTTTGCAAATCCTAATATTTGTATCAGTGCTAGGTGTAAACCGGGATCAAAAGACTTAAAGTCTTTTCCGTTTGAGCGTTTGTAAGACACTAAATTTATTTATTAAAAACATTTCTTAAGAACTAGTTGTGATAATATGACTTAACCTAAATTATAATTAAGTGTAAATGAGAGAGAGAGAGAGAGAGAGAGAGATAGATACCAACCGTACACATGCGTATGCACCATGCCACCATAAACCATAGGGGGAGGTCATACACACGCATAGCTATCTCACATGTGGCAAGCAAACATGCTGCACTTGCTTATCAGTCTGAGTAAAGATTACATCCCATAATCTAACTCCACCATAACACATGCAGCAATTGAGAATTCTGTATTATTTATTTCTAACTCGAAGGTCTGCTCACCACATTTTCTTATCTTATTTCATGTGGACTGTATTAAGAAGATCCCAGTTTAACAAATCCCTCTCATCTACACTAGGTAGCCCCGCTATTATCTTTTAT